GGTTGCCGGGAATTGAACTCAGTACCTTTGGAAGAGCAGGCAATGCTCTTAACCACTGAGCCATCTCTCCAGCCCCTTCTCATTGTTATTTATCATAGCTTTGTTTTACTTTTTAAAAATGATTACATGACATTCCAGCATATGGGCATGTAAAATTGAGATAACTATTCCCCTGTGAAGGTTTTCCCTCCATTGTAGTTTTTAATCCTACTATGAACATGCCCCGATACATACGTTTTAGAAACATACATTTAAGAGATGTTCTTATATATTACTGTTTCAACTTTGTTGGATAGGTATATCAAGTGAAGATAAATATCACAATGTACATTGAAATATTATTTTTCCAAAATTGAAGCAAAGTGCACACATTTGTAAAATGCACACATTGAGGTACAATTGCAGCATTTCCCATGGTTTTTTTTTTCGGCAAAAATTTTATTTGCCCAATAAGGTAATCTCTCAATGCTAGTAATAATAATAATATTTGTATTAGTAGTCAAGGTAGATCATAAGCAAACAGACAAAATTGCATCACAAGTTTTTATTGTTGGTAAGTGAGGAGGAGTTAGAAAATATGAAGGAATATTTACAATAAGTTAGTAATGAGATCCTTGTCCAAGGTGTACTTTGGTAAAGGCCTAATGAGGTCAGGGAGTAGGCAGTCACTATTGGGGCAGAAGAATACTTCAAGAGGGAAAGAACAGAAGGCAGAATATGGTTGGCAGGAGATTGATACTTGTTCCGTAGGAACAGGCAAGAGAAGAAGCAAGAAGGCCAGGTGGGGACATAGAGTAGGGGACAGGGGCTACAGGGGGAAGTGGCCATATTCAGGACATCTTGAAGGCAGAACTGACGTGATTCTAGACTTTTTGAAAATAAAGGGCTTTAGTTTGGCTTCATCTTTGCTTTTGATTTGCAAAGCATTTTATATGTTTAGGTGTATTAAAAGTACACACGAGCCAACCCAACAAAGTTCTTGATGCTTAAGATTGGGACAAAAATTAAATGTTTGTCTTTTTAATTGACTTACGTTGTATGTATGTAGTGATTGGCTTCATAAGACATTTTCAATAAAGTATGGCATGTGTTTTACCATATTCATACACATGCCCTTCCATTTCTTCCTTCTCTTCTCTTCTCTTCTTCCATTTCTTCTTCTCTTCTGCCACCTAACCTCACTTCTGTTTTCAAAAACATATGATTCGTATGTCTCTATATACAATCTAGGATTCACAAATACAAGAAGCACAAGATATTTGTCTAAGTCTGGCTTATTTTATTCAATAGGTTCATCTCCAGTCACATCTATTTACCAGTAAATGCAGCAATTTCACTCATTTATATGGTGAAACAAAACTCTATTGTATTTTATACTTTTGTTTGTTGACAGACACCTGATTCTCTAATTTGGCTTTGGTGAGTAGTGTTTCAGTAAACATGGAAATCCAGGTTTCCTTGTGTGGGCATGAACCTGGAGTGGCATAGGTACTGTTTCCTCTCTCTCTCTCTCTCTCTCTCTCTCTCTCTCTCTCTCTCTCTCTCATTTGTTTTGCTCCTAAGACAAAGTTTCTTGGTGCAGCCCTGGCTGTCCTGAAATTCACTATCTGCACCAGATTGGATTGGCAGAGATCCACTTGCCTCTTCTTCCCAAGTGCTGGGATTATAGGCGCGCACCACCATGAGCAACTTTCTTTCTTTCTTTTTTTAAAAGATTTATTTATTTATTTATTATGTACACAGTGTTCAGTCTCCATGTATGCCTTCAGACCAGAAGAGGACACCAGATCTCATTACAGATGGCTGTGAGCCACCATGTGGTTGCTGGGAATTGAACTCAGGACCTCCTGAAGAGCAGTCAGTGCTCTTAACCTCTGAGCCATCTCTCCAGCCCATGAGCAACTTTCTTTAGTCTTTTAAGAATTGAACCCATTACTTTACACATGATAAGCAAACACTCTACCACTGAGTTTTCTTCTAATCCATGAAATAAACTTTTTTATTTTAAAATAGCTTTAGATTCAGGGGGGATTTGCAAACAAAGCATAGAGAATTCTTTTGAATGTCTTGCCCAGCTTCCCCCAGTGTTAATTTCCCATGTAACCTTGGTACACTTGTCAAAACTAAGAAAATACCGTTAAATAACTTTTACCAGATTTTTAGTTTCTCTATGAATAGTCTTTTTGTGATCAAAGAACAATTGAGACAACGCCCTGAGTTAGATCATGTGCCTTGCTAGCCTTCTTCATCTCTGTTTGTTTCACGGCCTCACTTTATTTTATTCAGTGAATCTAGTTCACCTTCATTGTCGGGAGTGGGGAGCAGCCCCTATTTCTCTTCTCTGTGTGTTATTTGGAGATCTTTGTAAGAAATCATTCCTTCTCCGGCATTTTCCAGTCATTTATTTCAGGACAAAATCGTTTATACTGGCTTTGTTCTTTGGGTTATGAGTGTATGGTTATGGTATAGCTACGTAATTTTTATTGCTTACATTGTTCTGACATTGGTCACTGACATCTTTCTGGTAGTTGTTAAGTCTTTATTTCTTCATTTTTTTTCCCTGTTGTGAAGGATTAAACTCTGGTCTTCAAGCATGGTAGCCAGATGACCTACCACTAAGCTATAACCTCAGTCTTACTAGTAATGCATTTATGAATATTTTGTGTTCTTTTCTTCCTGTATTATCTGTATTATACAGTACTTCAGTTCGTCTTGAAATCCTACTGTCTCCATCTTTGAATGCACCATTTTCTAAGATAACTAGGTTTTTAATGTGACTGATTATTGAACTGAATGGGATGTTGGGGCTGGGGGTATTGCTTAGATTCCACCAAATGACTATTCAATACAAATAGTGCTTCCTGAAAACATACATGCAAATAACACTTTATGAACTAAATAGATTCTATTTACATATATATGCAGTTAAAGAAGAAAAAAAGCCATGAATTTGAAAGCGAGAAAGGTACAGTACAGGGAAGAGTTTTCGAGGAAGAAAAGGAAAAGGGAAATTATGTAATTAAATAATAATTTCAAAACTACTTTTTCAAAAGAATGGTTCCTGTTTCCCAGAGCCCTGAGCTCCGAGGGCTTAGTCATCTTTTCCTGTTTTCCGTAGGCACCTACCCATGTGGAACACTTGCCTATTCTCTCTCTCTCTCTCTCTCTCTCTCTCTCTCTCACACACACACACACACACACACACACACACACACACACACACACACAGACACACACACATAGACACAGACACACACACAAATAAAAAATATACATTTAAATATTGTCAATTATAATTAATTGACTAATAATCATAAACTACTAATAAAAACCCAGAGACAGATGACAGATATTGAGGTTCAACCTGAAGATCAAAAGAGCAAAACAGCTAGCCCCTGGCTCTTTCCTCTACCTCAGTCCAAAATGGCGATCCTCACTCCACGTATCTCAGAATGAGACTGTGTGATAACTGCCTCCTCTCATTTTGTATTCTCTCTAGGGCAGGGATTAAAGGTGTGCATCACTCACTGCTCGATTTCTATGCAAACTCGTATGGCTACTGGGATTAGAGGTGTGTGTCACCCCTGCCTGGTCTGTAAGGCTGACCAGGGGGCTGTTTTACTCTCTAATCTCCAGGCAAGCTTTATTTATTAAAACACAAATGAACTATCACTACAGACGGCATACACTTAAATGGGAGAAACAGAAAGCCTGGAGGGGGCAAATTTGTGTCTCTCTTTATTCCTTCCTTTCTTTGCATTGCATTTGTGGGCATTTCAAATGCAAGAAGGCTGCTGGCCATTCATGTAAAACTGTGGACTAGATTATAAGGTGCCTGCTACTCTCAAGGTCATGGTCGACATCCGGTCTAGAACTGGCTTCTTTAGGTCTATTTACAAATGGTACTCTTTAAAGACATGGTGCTAGATATGGTTTCTTATGATAGAGTTAGAAAAGAACTCATGGTGAAATCTGCTAGAGGGGGAAAGTCAAGCAAAGAGGCCGAGAAAAGATGGTAAATTAGGTAGGACAAAAGGTGGGAGAACGCAGTCTCACTTTGCAATCAAGTGATGAAATAATTCATGAAGTGGGCAGTAAGCATCTCAGTCACATACTGGCCTTTGAAGGTGTAAGGAACTGTCTTTGGTGGTTTGGTAACCTGCAAGTTTACTGCTGACCTGGGAGGTCTTCGTGGAGCAGTGGAGAAGACATCTAGTTTGAATGAGTTCAATTTTGCTGAAAAAGGAGAATGTCGTTCTGTAGGAGTTTCCTTACGAAATGGAATGCAGAAATACAGTGGTAGTGAGATGGGGAGCTCTTGTGAGAGAAGATGTGTGCTTTCAGGCTGAGGGGTCTCATGGCATCTTTACATATGGATGTGAATGAGTAAGAGAAATGGAGGAGAAAAGGAGGATGTGGAAAAGAAAGGGTATCACGGAATCTATGAAGGCTTTTCAGTGAGAGGAAATGGAATCACTTCACAGGAGGAACTGCTCTCCCGTAACAGAGAGAAATGTCTCTTATGATAGGACGGAAGTTAACAATACAGAGATTCCCATGAAGCGAGGGGCGATGGTCGTAGGGAATGGAGCAACCTGAATTGTGGTGTCTTCATTTTTCTAGAGGTGGTAGCCTAAACCAAGAATAAACAGATAGGAAGGAGCAGGGAGGGAAATTCAAAGGGACTATTAATTTCTTTATATCCAGAAATGATGAATTAACGAGCACACTATTGGGGAGCCATTAGAAGTCTGAAGCTGTAGTTATGCCCGGAACTCAAGGACCTTTGGTATCTCTGGTTCCAGTCCTCTCTTTAGCTACTGGGATGGGGAGAAAGCTGAGGTTAGCTAGGGCTGCTCTTGCTGCTGCCGCCCCTGCTTCTGCTAAGAGATCTGGGAGGTGAGGCAGGAGAAGTCCCCCAAAGGGCTTGTAACCAGTTCTACTCATTGAAAACAGAATGTTATAAAACATTGAAACGTGGTTTCTTTCTCTTTTTCAAGAAAAAAATAAGAAGATATCAACAGACTGAAAAGGTATATTCAGAAGCATAGACTCTTGGGAGGACACTGCAGTTCATGAGGCCGCAAGGTGAGGTGACTCCATTATTACCATTGCTATGCTTTCAAGCATCTGATACGACTCTGTAATTGTCCCAGGTTACGATTGCTAATGTGTAATTGGAGAAGCAAAATGTTCTTACTTAAAAGACATATTTTTAACCATGTATCTTTGGGGGGGGGGTCTTTGAAAGCTTATCCAGAACAGAATTATAATATTTGGTTTCATTAGGGGTGATTTAAAAAATATATCTTTTACTAGGGAATGCTGCTTCTTGTAATTCTCTCATTTTTAGAAGGTAGCACCGTCCCAGGAAAATAAATATGAGGTATGTCTATACACTTTATTTCTTGTGACCATAACAGTCAGGAATGATGGTGCAGACATTCGATCCCAGCATTTGGGAGGCAGAGGCTGATGGCTCTCTAGGAGTCCAGCATGCAGGCCACCCAGGGTTATGTAGTGAGAGCTAGTTTCGCAGATTCTACATTTCAGTTAAAAAAAAACAAACAAAACCTACACTTTCTAAAAGAAAGAGAGAAAAGAAAAGAAAGAAAGGGAGGACGAGGGGGAGCCCTCGAGAAGAGGTAGAGGGTGGGTGCATCTGGGAGGAATCATGCGGAGGAGTTGGCAGCAAATGGTGATCAAGTTACTCTGAATGTCATTCTAAAGAAATTCTATACATACATACATACATACATATGCTTATATGTGTATATATACATATATAGTATACATAAGTGAATTCATTCTCTGACTTTCTTAAACGTTTAAGAATCACCTTTGTGAAGAGTATTTGCCAGCTATGAAACGATGATTTGTTTGAATGGTCAAAAACATCCTGGGGGTGGGGGCAGTCATGTCTAACATATAGGACAGGTAAAGAAAAAGAAGCTAAGCTGTTGTTAAAATAAGAACGGATGTAAACTATGCATTTAGAAGTTATGATTATTGTGTGGGCTAAAGTTCACAATCACGGCATCCTTTTAAAAAGTAGATGATTTCTTTCTCATTGGTATTGTGAAACAAGGTGTCATAGATCGCAATTTTAAATATAAAGGGTCGACAGGCTTTTATTTTGATTTGGCCAAGCTTGTCTTCAGCCTGGCTTTTCTTATTCATCAAAGAGTTGGTTCACTTATTTACGATTTACCATACCATAAATTAGTGGATTACATGCCTTAGTGTTTGAAAATGAGTAAGCTGTGGTCTTGGTTGCCAACCTTTCTCCAATGAATATGCTACCCAGAGCAAATTTTCTTATTAATTCAATACATTATTTAAAAGGAGAAGCTAGACTGTAGAAGGTGTGCAACGAATTCTAAGCCGTGTGTGGACTATCTGGGGTCGTCATTTGTCATCATGCCTCGCCTCAGCCTAGGAAACCAAGAGTCTGTACCAGAAGAACCTTGCTCTATCTCAGCTCACACCTGAGGGGCAGTTTTCCAGCCTGCCTGTGGCTCCTTAGGTGCAGCATATGGAAAAACTCAGAGAGTCTAAGGCAGAGGAGGTTCCCTGGTCACAACTGCAAATTGAATGTTGTGGAAAATAGTTATGCAAACACTTATGAAAATAACAGAGGTAGCCCCACCCACTCACCTTTTTGCCTCATTTGCGTTCATTTTATTACCCTCACTAGGCACTTAAGTTTCCTGGTTACTGGAAAGGGTTAGCAGGGTGAGGAGGGAAGCTATGAGCTCCTAAGGGTCTTAGGCAGATAACAGCAGGGCCTGGAACCTGGTCAAGAAAGTTGTTTTCTGTTTGTTTGTTTTTAAATTAAGGCTATCAAATAAACGAAAGCAATAAACTTTGCAAAGGTGCAGGGAGGCCAGGTGTGGTGATGCATACTTTAAGCCTTTAATTGTCTCTTCAGAAGGTAGACGCAGTTTGAGGCCAGTCTGGTCTGTGTCACAGGTTCTAGGACAGTCAGAGCAACGTGGAGAGATGCTGACTTGACAAACAAAACAAGAAACCAAAAGAGTCAATGAAAATGCCCCACACCCAGTTTTATCATTAGAAAAGTGGTTCCTTTCATTCATATACTAATTGTAACCATTCAATTGTTGTGCTAAGTTTGTGTCTGGAAGTGGAGGAAGAACCATGAACAAAGTCCACCAATGTCACAGTAGAAATTCCATCTCGTGGGAGATAATATAGGTAATTGGTGACGTAGTTATGGCTTAGGTTTGGTGGTGTGATTGCCACGGAGAGAAGTTAAAGGAGAATATGGAGTAAACATTCAGGTGAGATTGGTTCTTTAGGAAGCTCACGTGACTTAGCACGGCATGCTTTACACAAGAGATAGTTGAGATGCTGCTTTCATTCACACAGAACAGATGTGGTGAGACCCAGCACGTGCTGGTTGATTCCTAAATCTCGACCTATTGAGATGAATTTGTAAATGTGGAAAGGTGTATCACAGAAGTATCTTGCTTAGTTCCACCAGAAAGATGATATGTTATTTTTAAAAGAGAATGTATTTCATACAAATATTTGAAATAAAATGCAACTGAGTACAGATTTACCAGTTCACTTATTAAAAGGGTAAAAGGTATAGTTATTTGTGTCTGCACAAATGGTTATTTGTGGGGACCAACAATTAAGTGTCCAGGTTTTCTTTAACGATAATCAGGTTGGGAATTTTCCTACACGATGTTTTGCTTTGAACACATGAGTGTTAAGGCCCAGATTTTTTCCCCCATTTTTCATATCCTGTCATAACTAGAGGTGAGCCCATCACATTAAATGACATCCTCAAAATCTCTCAGTCTTAACTAAACTGGATGCGGTTAAAAAGCTTATGCAATTTTGTGTGCAGAAATCTATAAATCAAGTGATTTCACTTCCGGTAAATATGACGGGAAAATGTCGTTACTCAACTAAACAAGAGAGACTGGATTACAAAATCTCAAAACTGTGCCTGGTGTGGCACGCATTTATTTGATCTTTCTTCTCAGGGAAGTCTAGTAACTGAAAACAGTAGACATTATAAAAGTCAAGAAGGCCAGGTGTGCTGACGGAGTCACGAGGTACAGAAACTCCAGGATATCCCCATCTATTGGTGAATTCTAGAAGGAGTTTGCGTCAGAATAACAAAAACAGCAACAGCACTAACAGTAAATAAAAACCCAAATAGATTTCCAAAACAGCTTAGGGTAACAATTCCCGAGTCTTCCGAAAAACATGTATCTAACCATTGTATCAACTGAGGAAATTAAGGTGCCAGCATCGTAGCAATGAAAGGATCACAGAGTGAGCACCATGTTTGTTTGGTAGCTATTTAAATCGATCTATAGCCAATAGTGTTTATTCCATGGTGTAGAGAGCATTAGTGGCCGACTCTAAGAGCTGACCACAAAGACAACTTTTATCTGTTTTAGAAAACCAAAATTATGGGAAAAAAAAAAGAGGGGGTGACAATGTGCAAGGCAGAGGACTGAACTTAGAGAGAAACCAAAGATTTCTTGTGCACTGTCAGTGTGTTGGATCATGGATTTATTTCAAGCCTTTCCTTCATTCATATATGAAAACTTTTATTTAAGGATACCTAAGGCATGACTTTGCCAAAGCAAATGTGTCCTCCTCGGTTCTTTTGATTTCATCTTCCCCAAATTTGCTTTACAAATTTGCTCTCCCCGGAATCCATCTCAAACACATAGCATGACTCTGGCTCCCTGCAGAGCCTCCCTGCTTCTCACAGACCTGCTCTGCATGCACACGGTTCAATCTGGCATCACCCGGTGTGGTCCTGCTGTGGGCCAACTTTCTCTTCTCTGGTCCCATCATTCTCTGCGATTATCCAAATGTTTTTCCTGGTCTTGTTCTTCTGTAATGCTGATAAAGATTTAACCTAATCTACAGTACTCGACCTCAGCACTGTTAACACTGTTGATGGAATTCTCACGCCACTGGTACCCTCCTCTATAATGACTTTGAACGTGGCCCATTGTCTCACTGAATCAAAATAATCTGCGTCAGGAAATCACTAATCAAATGTGAACATCCAGACCCTCCAAACCTTGATCTATCCCACACAGGAAGCCTCTCAGTTAAAACGTCTCACTTCTGCTCAGGGGACCAGGACTGCTGTTTGACCTTTGTAGTTTTTAAATTCCTTTATTGGCTTCTTCTTAATTTTATATTTATAACATGTTTTATAAAATGGTAAGCCTGAACATAAAAAGGGTGGGGAAATTAAGACAGAGAAGGAATCAGGTAACGCTTGTACATTTCCCTCCCTGATGTTTTTATCGACTTGGTGAAAACTCCAGTGCCTTTGGGCTTTCCGTACTCTTTCCCAGGCAGATCGGGATTTTGCATGTGTACTGGTGGTTGGCTCTGCTTAGCTCTCCAGCCTGTTCTTCTTAGACGGAACCTATGACCTTGAACCCGCGTCACCACTGCTCCCCTCTGCCCTTACAGGATTTGTAAGTGCCAGGAGAGCAAGCCAGACACACCCTGTGCCACACAGTCTGCTCTTTAACCGGAGTGAGTCCCTGAACAGCAATCGGTAATCCCTCCCCGTGACTGTGGGCTGACACCTTCAGAACTGTCACCGGGCTCAAGCCACAGAACCTCTTGCCTTCACTCAGTGCCCCTACTCTTTTAACGAGAAAATTGAGGTCACTGTGCAGAAATGACTTGTGAATCCTTGCAATTTCGTCTCTATAAACATTTGTATTTTCCTCCAGTCTCAAAGCAGGATCAGTCCTTCCCACTATTCAGCCTAAGCCCGTGTTTGATTCTCTCCCTTTTCCCCGGGCTGAGACCTTTTGCCACCCATTATCGCCGTATGTCCTTTATCTTCAACCTTGTCTTCACTGCTGACTTGCTTTCTCTGCCTACTAGATTCTGTAGACTTCCATCCATAAACCAAACAAAAACAAATTGATCCCTCCCTCCCTCACTGCTTCTGCATTCCATCTCTCTCCTTCCTAACACATCTGAACTCTGAAGCAGCGGGCTTCATTCATTTTCCCTTGCCTCCCAGAGTCACTCAGTCCTTAGCCCTGGGCCATCTGATTTCTAAC